TGAAGGATAAGATATGTTAAACAAAGTTTCAGATTTACATATGTTGATTCATTTAAATTTTTACTATTTAACACCAAAATCCTAAAATATTAAGACAGGTTGTGTGGAATGACTATTGGTTTATTTGTATCTTAACTCTACTGTAAATCTCTCCATTTACAAAGTTAGACAAAGACCTTCAATGTTTGCTATTTTAATGTTGGGGTGTAATTGTGTTAGTTTTACTGTAGCCAATTTTCTTCTGCAAATCTTGCTTCCTTGGATTCACTTTCGTTCATGAGATCCTAACAATATACTAAGAGATTTTTTTGCAGTAATGAACCAAAAACATCTTTTCAGATTAAGTAACATTGAAATGCGGCCTATAGAAGAGTCCCGCTTCCTCAATTCCAAAGTCTTATGAAGGGATAATGAGGTCTTCTGTAGCAGTTTCTAGACTTCTCCAGGCTGTTTTCTTTCTCTCAGGCAGAGTCCTCATGAGCCCAACTCTCCCAGGAACTGAAGTTGCTGAGTGTCAGCTGACAAGCCCTGCGCTTTCTGCTGTACCATAGAAAAATTGCTATGGATACCCCTGGCTATGTTTGAGTGAACTTTGTTTTGCCCCTAGTCTCTCATAGAATGCCATCAGTTTTTTGTGGAACCCTAGGATTTTGCAGAACACAGTTTGAAAAATGCTCGTCCAGTGGATGCTGAAGATCTCCTCCATTTGTGGAAAGAGACCTGTCTACAGAATAGGGCTGTTGGTGAAAGTCTCAACCTCTTTAGACATTGAGATCATTGAGTTCTACCCTCATCAGCTTCAGCTGGGATAGGAAACAAAAATGACATGTGTCAAGACATGTGAAGTGCCATGGGTGAGATGATAGATATACCAGATGACAGCCTTATTCTCATGATATACCCTTTAAAAGGAATTGTAGGAAATTTTTAAAATGCAGGAAAATAAATAAATAAGGACAATTGATTGAAAGAAATCATCATTCACATTCCATTTGAGCTTCTGCTACAATGGATTTTTCTTAACTTCTGATCTGCTCTGTTTATGTCCCACTGATTTCAAAAGGGAGAGTTAAGCATGTGCTTAAATTTTTCCTATTGAACTAGGCTCATGAATCATGCCAACTAAACCATACTCACAAATCAGTATATATATGTAATCTCTAATCAGTATAATCTCTAATCAGTATACATATAATCTCTTCTGATAAGTAGAAATCTACATTACCTTAAATTTCCTACATATTATTTCTTCCTTCCTCAATGCATTTCCAGCAGACCTTTGATTCATAGATGCATTTACAGGCTTTGTGAGACCTTTGTATGGCTTGGTATTTAATATCATAGGCTGAAAGCCTGAAACCTCTTATTTTCTCCTGTTGCACTGAAATCTGAGGCCATAATTTTTAAGCAGGAAGCTTTTCTTAAACGACAGGGGGAAAATCACACTTGTAGAACCAGATTGCTTTATTTTATTTTATTATTTGCTCTTCCTAGATAGTTAGGTTTTGCTTTTCAAACCATTACCACCAGAAAAGATGTAGGATGGACACCGAAAGACGGAGAGACAGACGCACACATTTTATCTTTACAAACCTTCTGTCTGGTTGAATGGCTAAGTCCTAAAGAAGCAACCTGGACTGCATAAGCAGGAGGATAGAATATCAGCAAAAGAAAGAGATATTATTACTCAGTGGGGTATTGGCTGGGCCCCATCTGGAGTGATTTGGTGCAATCCCAATGGAAAACATGCTAAGAGAACTTTGATGTCCTTTGGGACAGGTGCTCAGGGTACAATTGCAATGGCCTTCTTCTTCTAAAAGCCTTATCCTCTGAAAAGACTGTGCAGAAGCACACATTCAGGGATAAATAAAAGGTAGATGAAGATGCATTGGTAGATCTGTGGATAGTTTGCAGTAGTTCTCCAAACGTTGTGAGTAAAATCATAAAGAAAAATACCTCTGCCATAACTGACATTGTTCTTACATCTCAGCTTTAGCGATTCTCATCTATAAAACAGGAAGCCTAATTGGTTACTTCTGATCAGATCACTCTTTTGGGAACAGGAGAGAACTGGGTTTCTAGTATTCCTCATTTCCAAAATAAAAAAAATCCAATATGTATAAGTTATCCATCCTGGTTTCTGTGAAAGGAAAGATAGACAAACTATGACAAACACTCTAAGCCAAAAATAAATGAACCATGTTATGGCTTAGCATGAAGTATGAATCTTGTCAATGTATTTAGATTTGAAAATATTTCATTAATCAAACCCATTAGTTAACTCTTCTCAAGCAAGTTGAAGATGATCAAATGGTCACAATAAATGTGTAGCAATATTTTTCCAAAGTTGGAAATGTATTTTATTAAATAGAATCCAGGTCCTGAAGTGTGGGTAAAGCTATACAAAGGGAGAAAATAAATTTACAAGTGAGCACAACTATTTCATATGTATATGAATGAGTAAAAAAGACATCACAGATTATTGCCATGAAGTAGAAATGAAGTATGAATGATGAAATATGAAGTAGGACTTCATAACTCTCATTGCAGTTAAACACAATGATTTTTAACAGTATCAGCTTCATATTCATTTGCCAGACACTGTGCCATTTAAAAAGAATGATGGGAGATAGAGTAGGATCGTGGTAACAACTCTCATGTTACATCAATACAGGTTAATGTATGGACTGATATTACACATAATGAAATTGTATTTAGAAATTATATATCTGTCTATGATCAAAAATCAGAAAGACTCTAACATTTAATTTAATGTATTTATTTAAAAAAATTATATGGCCTCCCATCATAAGAGACACAACTCTGGTTGATCACAGCAGTGACACAAAACCAAAACATCACAGAAACAAGAAAAGCAAAAAAAAAAAAAAAATGGTGCTACAACCATTCTTCTCTGACACAGCCAACACCACCGCCACCTCACCCTATCCCAGGACCTTTTCAGAGTAACAAATTTTATGAATGGCGTATGTTTTTATGAGCTACAGCTCCCTTCATCAGATGCATCTCAGTTGGATCTCAGAAGTAGTTTACGAACATTTGTTAGCTGAAAAGGTGGTACCAGACTCTTTCTTTTTCTGGCTACCATAGGCTAACATGTCTCTCCTCCTACATACAATATATGTGATCAGGAAACCTGCCTAAAACCGGTTTGGATAATAGAGAAACAGCTGTGCATGTAATCAGAGTGTGTATAAACACACAGAGCACATTCTTCTAAATCCCTAAGAAATGAAGAAAGGTAGTTTGGGGTTAAATAATTTATATTACTATAACATAGAATGCCACATTTGATATTATATGTTCCTATGCCATTAACTTAACAATCCACTTTAAGACTGGGAAAGTTTAGTCTCTAGGTTTTATCATAGACAAAGATGTGTGTATGGGATAGAACTTTTGCATATTTCCCCCTATCCTGTTATAATGAAATTGCCAGAGCCAGGCAATCTTTGCAAAAAAGTTTGTCTGATGATTGCCTCCAAGTTGAACTTCCAAGGGCTGTTCCAATGGCTCCTCTCTTGTGAAAGTCATTCTTTTAATTTCCAATGTCAAAACCATTTGGCAGTTGTTCATGCTTTATTCAGTACTGGAGCAAGAAGACACAGCATGCCATACATAGGAAGTGCATGAAAGCTATGGATGACTGTGTAATCACTTCAGCCTTAGGGTGGATGGATGGAGAGTTGTTTCAGGGTCATATGTACTGTCTTCAAAGACTTGCTTCCTTGTTTCCCCATTATTCATTCCCTAATCATGGCCTTGCTCTCAAGGGGGCGAAGGGTTCTTGTCCGATGCAGTCATGCTGTATGTTTTTATCAGATAAAAATTTAATGTAAATTCCTGCCTACGCTGTGCATCCTGCAAAATTAAAAATTCAAATGGTTATAGAGGTTTTTCTCCTCTTAGAAGAAGTTTAAAAAAAACAACAACTGTATTGAAGAGTGGTTATAAAGAGGTGATGTTCATGTCATACATACTTAGAAAACAGATAATCTGTTCAAAAAGAAAACTCTAGCTGGTTATTCAGTTCCAATGTTTTAGGACGGTGACCTATTTTGTTATTAGATATTTTTTTTTAAAAAAAATGCCCTATTTTGAAAACAGACATATTTATGTTTCTGTAAGTGCTTTTTGTTTTTTGATCTCAAAGGATACTATAACTCTTGCCCTAACAGTGCCTGTTTACAAGAAAGATAATTGAAATTTTCCTGCTAAGTTTTGCCCTATCAGTCTCCTCTGCATAATCAACAAATCATATACCAGACACCTAGCCATAAACTTTCAGGGCTAGTTAAACCAAGAGAATATACTAGCTGAGGAACAAGCTGGATTCAGAAGTGGCTGCTTTATTTTGGATCATGCTCTTGTTCTGCAACACTTGGCAGAGGAATACTGTATACTTCAAAACCATGTGTAAAGTTATAGAAAGCCCACATAGACTTTAGAGCCACCTTTGATTTAATTTCCTGATCTAATCTTTGGCGTCAGCTGCAAAATTCCACCTTAGACAGAAGGCTCCTTCAGCTTATCTATAAATTATATGACAGCTCAACTCCAAAGGCAATCCCAGTGCCATTAGACTGAGGAGATCCCTCTTAGCAGAGGTGCTCAGCAGGGATGTATTCTGACACCATCATTACTTAATTATTATATCAATCTCATAGTTGCCAGGAGGAATAACCATTCACATCATTCTCCAAAACTGGCAGAGAAGTATGTAGCAATTCTCCTATATGCAGATGATGTAGTTCTACTCTCCCAGACCCATATTGGCTTAAAAAGAGTATTGTGAACTCTGGCTGAATGTTGTAATGCAGAATAGAAATAAAACAATACAATACAATAATACAATAAAACCAAGGTGCAGGTGTTTGCGAAATGCACTAAAATGCATCACTGGAAATTAAATAATCATCCAATCAAGCAGGTTAAGTCATTTAACTTGGCATTGCATTTCATGCCTCAACCACCTGCAGGTTACCTATGGAATATGTAATCCCAACAGCCCAAAGATCTGTCACACCCTCCAATCATTCTTTTTCACCAAAGGGGAGCTGTATATTCCTGCTGCATCTGGAGTGCATTCAGCCCATCTGGAGACAATTATTATTTGATGCCCAGGTAGGTTCATACACTTCTTTTGCCCCTTTGAAAAGAAAACAGACTAAGTTCCTCAGGACTTTATTACAAGTCCATGTTGTTAGTAAGACTGAATCCAGTGTTTGGATACATATTTTCCCATATTGGACTAAACTGCCCTTCTCCCTAGTAGGTCTAGCTCCCTGGGTCTCCTCTTGGGCCAAGGCGATAACAAAAAACTGGAACTTTAGGGTTTCTCCTTAACTCAAGTGTTGTTGGCCTCATGGGTAAACCAGATAGGAATCACAACCAGATGATCTAATTGTACTTTATTGTAATGCTACATTGACAGAATCTTGCAAGTCTGAAAGTACAATTCTCTCCCTTGTCTCCTTTACCACCTGAGAAACTAGGGACGGTCTTGTCTGGGCCTCTTGCTCCATCCATTATCCAGCTGTGGGCTATGTTGTCTCTTATCTGACCATTCCCTTTGCAGCATCTTTTTGCCCACCCTCCGAAAATCTTTCCCACATACCGTTACAAGTGTGCATACTAGGACAAGAACGTATAGTAAAGACAATTAAGCAATGCCTTAAGGACATTAATATTTAAATAGACCTGATGTCCTCTCCCTGCAAAATGTATATCTAAATCCTCATACCCTTTATAGACCTGCCAGAAATCTAAACCAAATTGCTGTCCCCAAATTAAGGAGGGCCTTAACCTTGGCACAATTTAATGTGTTTCCATCAGTGGTTTTAGAGGGAAGAGACAAGGGCATACCATTTGAATCCAGACTTTGCCCATGTCAAGGAGCCATTAAAACTGCAGACCAGCAGACCATTTTTGACACCATGATTCCAAGCAACGTTCTAGACTGGATCTTTTGAGCTCACATCTATTGTTTCCACAGTGGGAACCACTGTTAAGAAAAGAAACTGGAAGAAATGAACTTCAAGAACAAGACTGAAAAGCAGAGGGTTGGGTAAGAAGAGAGCTATATAAAAGCCTTCCTTTGAACCCTTCGTTGTCTCCTACAGCAGCAATTCATTGCTCAGCAAAAGCAAACTGAGCCAAGCAAGTTATGCTCAGGAAGATCTTCTTAAGTGTAAAATGAAGAGTTTTCTTTAGAGGGGTATGGAATAGCTCTGACAATGGAGTAGACTATGGAGACCAGATGATACCCAGATCAGAGTCATATTTATGAACTGAAAGGATAATGTAGACCCAATGCTCTGCTTCTTCTTATCTTGTGGCCTTCACCTTTCTGGTATCTTCATTATTACTATTGGTGAGCTTCTGAGCATGTTGCAAAAATGCACCCAATACCCAGATCTATAAGGAAATACATATCTATAAGAGAAAAGGAGCTAAAAAATCAGGAAGTACAGTAGCAGCATTTGCTGCTCTTTTAAACTTAATAAAAGGTGGAGGCCCTTACTTATCTGGCTTGTCTAGTTACTCTACTGGTAGTGGCTCAAACTCTGACACTTATAAATTGGGGAAATATATCAATTTGTTTAATTCATGTTGTGAGTTTTAGTATTGTAATATACTGATATGTTATTTTCAAAAATAAGATTTTATTTAATACATTCACAAGTCAATATAGATCTCACAAAGGCAAATATTTGACAGAAAAATCATAAAATCCTATTTATTACTTAAAACAGGGCTTTATGATTCTTTCAACTGTTAGCATTAGTAAAATCTGTCTTGGCTTGAATGGATTAAATAAAATCTTATTTTTAAAAAATAGTGTATCATTCAATGAAAATATGACTTTTCTGTGGATTTGTTTATGAGATCTTGGAAATGGTTCATTATGTTTTGCTTGTTTCTGACCAGTTTCTAAATTAACTATATTCTGAAGATTTTTCTTCTCATCTGAGCATATGCTGAATCACTCTCAACAAATTTTGATTTTTGCTTTCAGCGAGAAAAGGGAAAACTTCAATCAGATCTATATATCAAAGTGAACTTTTTACAACATTCGAATTCAATGTATGAACAACTACTTTACAACACATCACTGTTGTTTAGCTTAATTGAACATTTTTGCTGTTTACTTAGAATCAAGCACCACTGAACACAAGGGACTTCTGAATCACTATGTATGGAGTTTAGAAATATTGGAGAAATTATTTGGTTCACATTTCTAAGGGAAATACCTAATTTGCATTTTGAAGGTATAATTGAACTGCAAATATCCTTCAGCTTACATGATTTTCTTAAGTTGACAATGCAAAATGTATATCTTAAAGAAAGTATGTACAAAAATCCATATTTTAGGAGAAATGTGTTCAATTTAAACACGGGCTTTCATTTTAAAAACAGTGTGGAATGGTCTTAAGACTAAATATGCAAACCTAATCCAAACTAGAAATAGAGTCATCCACCTATTCCCTAATATTTTGCCCTATCATTTTAATACGATTTGTAGACAATGTTCTAGGATTATGTTTGGCATTACAAATGGATAGATTGACAGGATGGCATAAAAGAATGAATTTCTGATGTTTCTATATATTACTATATCTCACAATGTCCTTCCCAGAGTATCTTACAGTAGATGAAAGACAGGCTGGAAAACCTCCACTCCATTTCAAGTGTGAGGAGGCACCTAACCCAAATCAGGTTTTTGGAATCTGAAGGGCTAGAGATTTTGTTGCTTTTCTATAATAACATTCTTAAGAACTGGATAATAATAATATCGCATTACTACAGAACTTTGCTCTGAGATCTGTGCCATTAAATGTATATATACTGTTGTAAAAATGATTTCCCATAAACATTTTCAGTATACCTGAACTGGCTGAACTTGCTTCCAGTAACCATTTTCTTCTATCATAGAGATAAGAAATCAACTCAAGGAACTTCAAGGAGGGGTGGCCTTGTTGTAAAATTCTCCAAAGGACATTCTTGGAAAACATGGCATTGCAAGCAGATCAATTCTATGTCTATTAAGCTAAAAGATTTCCACGATAAGTAGTGGAACAAACGTGTTATCCAAGGGCATAGGAGTTAACTTTCTTTCTTCCATAATCCTCCTCCTCTTCCTCTTCCATTGTTGTTTTCCTTGCATTATGGTTCTACAGATCCTTTTGCATTGGGCATTGGAAGAGGAAGCATTTTCTTGTACACAGGAAGGTATTTACAATCATGGTGCTTGTCACTGTCAATATAGTCAAAGTGTATGAATTACTATGTTCCACACTGTTGTTTTCCAATGGTAATGTTTGACTGTGAAAGCTGGATGCTGAGAAAAACTCAGAGAAAGAAATGTCTTTGAATTATGGATTTGGAGACAGCTACTAAGAGTACCATGGACTGAAACAAGGAGACAACTAATCACTCTTGATAAAAACTGACTGCTGCTTTGGAGTAATGATCAGGAATCAGAAATGCACATGTATTGACTTATGATGTGAGTATATATACGATAGACAAGAAAAAAAAAGACTATGTTTGGCAACACTGAAGGGAGTAGAAGAAGGGGAAGAATAGTGGTGATGGCTGGGATTAAGGACATTACTGAAATGTCATCGGAAGAGCTAATCACCAGAGATGGGTTGAGTTAGCAAGCATTTGTTCATATAGTAACAAAGGGTCAAGCCTGACTAATATAAAGGAAGGGGCTAATTATTCACTTTATGGCTGTTATGAACAGCTTCCATCTGTGGCACCTCCTATTGGGGATTGAAATATACAATACCACCTATCATAAATACCTTCTGTATTTATAATGAACCATGCAAGTTCACGTAGACACATACCTACCATATGAATTAATTCCATGCTGCATAAAGGAGCAATATGTGCTAAGGGATTCTAATATTTGCGGGGAAAAGTGTCACATAAAAAGTGTCCACATGAAGGCTATCTTGGGTAGACTGGCCCTTATTGTATCATATCATACCTCCTTGGAATAGTGATATGAAATAGAATTGAGTAGGCTGAGGGGCGTGTGTGGATGAAGAAGATACATCATTTGTCAAATTAAAACATATGGAAAACAATATAAACCTTTCCATTTTGTTTTCTTAATGTAGGCCTGTCTGTATTATGCACATATATTCATTTTTGTAGTGCAAAATATTAATGCATATTGTAGAGTTTTTCCTTGATATAATCCATGGTTTCTGAACCATGACTAATATTATAGGCACTAAACAATATCAAGAGGGTTTTAATTCACATAGGATCTGGAGAAGGGTTACAGGTGTGAGTATTGTGTGTAATCATTGCCAGAAATAATTACCACTGACAGCTCTAAAATTATGTCTCATTTACAATGCCTGAAATCTGAAGGTTTGGTGTATATATTTTTTCTAGACAAAATGGAACATATTTTGGTCAAACACTGAAATCTCCATTGTTCTTTTCATTGCTACTGGGAGTTAAAACATATACCTTTGGGAAATGCAATAGAATTCATAGAAGGCTTAGCAAATCTGAATACTACAAATGAACAGGCTGTGTTTAATTAAGTACATAAACCACATATATCTGGACTTATATTTTCACTGACTGGTAAAAAATAAATTATTTTGGTCATCATTACTGCTTTTAATTTATCTGAATTGGCCAGGAATCCCCTGTCAAAACAGTTGTGTTGGAAGGAAACAGTTAACTGACTCTATAGCATGTTTTATTTGCCTATGTGGATGAATTATACTGAAGGTCCAGATGAGTAAA